TTCTTTCACTTCCTTACTATCTTTCTAGAAACAGCAGCAAGTTCTTCTTAAACATTTACCTGCAACAGAGGGTTAAGTTGCTGATGGGGCATCAGTGCTTTTGTGCTGTTCTGTTTTGTTTTGGTTTTTTTCCCTAAACCTCTACATTAATCTCTTCAAAATGTCTTCTCCTCAGTATGTTCTGCCCACTTATGAAATGGCAGTGAAGATGCCTGAGAAGGAACCTCCACCTCCCTACATACCTGCCTGAAGCAATTTTAATGTTGATTAACATCTGTACCAGCTTCCTGGGGGTTTTGTCTTTTAATCTTGCAAAACTGCTTAAGTAATAGAAATATTCAGGGCTTTAGGAGCAAACTGTTCTGTTTAAAATATTTGATACAAACTTACTAAGCAAAACACATCTGAGAGTGATTTTGTTTGCTTTAATTTTTGTTCTCCTTAATGCTCTTAAACATTTTATTGCCTTAGGGCCTTACACTGCAAGAACTTATGCATGTGACTAACTTGTGGCTTTTAATAACACCAACTGAGCCAATCTGCGATTGAAGTTAGCTACAATTATAAGTGTCTGCAGGATCATGCCCTTAATTTATATTAATTTTTTTATAAAGTAGGTCATAAAGACAATCTGATCGTGCAGCAAAATGACAGTTTGCCTTTATCCAGTTTCTGGAGGGGGACGGGGTTTGAATGTGGTATATTCGTGACTCTTTTTACTTTGCACTTTCCTGAATATGTTATCTTACCTTCATTGTGGTATTTTGGTTATCCCATGTTCTTGAAACATAGTAGTTTTCAGGAAGAAGTGAGGGTGGCACGGGAGTTCTATTACCATGTGCTGTGAATGCAAGAAAAATAAATAGAAATGTGAAGATGGTTGCATGCTTCTAATCTTTATATGTATTTTCCTCTTTGTGATAAAGGATACTTAAATAAATCTTTTACAAAATGTTTACCAGTAGCCTTGCTTGTCTGTTTGTTGGGTTTGGGGTTTTTAAGTGTGCTGCAGGTGGTCCCACATACATGCAACTTCAGGAACATGGGCTTCCCATAGGTTGTTTAGTGGCTGGTCTTCCTGTGGGTGCAAAATGGGGATTCCCTTTGAGGTATTAAGCTTGCTTTGCAGCCTTTGCAGTTCATGTACTCGGTTGTCTTCTGCTTGTCTGGTTGCTACTTACATAAGCTGGGAAAAGGGAATTGTACTGGAGGCTTCTGGATCTTGGGGCAAATTTGATGTCTGATGAGCTCAGGCAGACACCCAGAGGGACTGCAATGTGGTTTACACTGGAAAATGTCCGAAATGGTTAGATGGATGTTCTAAAAAAAGAAACAAACAAAAAAGTAAACTGAACAATTTTCTACTCTTCCTTCTCTGTAGTAAGAGGTAAAAGATAACTTGTTGATCTGCTACAAATTTCTGCAGCATGATTGTTGGTTATTTCAGCCTGTTCAACCACATGCCTCCTTGCTGTTCCCCTAACACATTTACAAGTGCCTTCTGTCCTTACCATGCCATCAGTAACAGTTTCATGAGCTTTCCTTTTACTGAAGTTTTCCTTTACATGAGCACCTCGACTGTGGGGGGGCTGAAAGACCATGTGAAATTGAAGTGGTATAAGAAACACAGCTGGAACTGCTGTGGTGGCGTGAGGTACTCATGTACCCATCTCGGAGTGCACACTGTGGCCATGATCCTTCTGCTCTAGGGTGACTCTGGCTCTGACATGGCCACTGAGGCTTCCCAAAATGCAGGTAGGTAACCACATGGGTGAGCAGTATTTGGTGGCAGCAGACACTGCCTGAAGTTGCTGTGGAGTGTGTGTGCATGTGCTGTTGCTCAGAGCTGCAGCTCCCTCCAGGAGATGGAAGCTGTTTTACTCCACCAGACCTTGTCCTTTGACTTTCTTCTGTGTGAAGGGTGGTGGTCCCTCTCCTCTGACGCCGTCTCGAGTCTTTGCGAGTGTATGATGGCCTCATATACTGAGCAGTCAAGACAGTAATTGCTGAAGTGGGGCAATACCTGCCTGGGGCCATACTGCACCCATACTCTGGTGCTGTGTAGGGTAGTGTTCAGAATCAGAACAGTTTGGGTTGGAAGGGACCTTAAAGCTCATCTAGTTCCAACCCCCCTGCCATGGGCAGGGACACCTTCCACTAGACCAGGTTGCTCCAAGCCCCGTCTAACCTGGCCTTGAGCACTGCCAGTGACGGAGCAGCCACAGCTTCTCTGGGCAACCTGTGCCAGTGTCTCATCACTCTCATACTGAACATCTCCTACCATCTAATCTTAATTTACCCTCTGTCATCTTCAAGACATTCCACCTTGTTCTATCCCTGCATGTCCTTGCAAAAATCCACTGTTCAGCTTTCTTGTAGGCACCTTTAGGTATTGGAAGCTGCTTTAATGACTCCCTGGAGCCTTCACAAGGCTGAACAAGCTAAACTTTCTCAGCCTGTCTTCATAGGAGAGGTGCTCCAGCCCCCAGAGCATCTTCGGGGTTCCTGTTCCCCTTACAGAGGCTAAGGGCAAAATAACGGCCGAGTCCACTGTAGGGTCAGCAAAGGTGTCTTCTAAAAGACTCTGCTGGAGATTGTAGTGGATCTGTTCCCTAAATCGTGCCTTCCCTTAGAGCTTGCTGCAGCTTCCCACAGGAACTGGCAGGATCTGCAGTGCCAGCGACTAGACAAAGTGCCCTACGTTAGGTCTGACAATAGGGGAGGCAGTTTGTTGTTCCTCGGTGATCACGCTGTGAGCTTTTTCTCCCATTCTTTGCAAATACTGTCCCGGACCTAAAGCCTTGAGACCAGAAGTGCAAAGTTGGCAGTCCTGGATCAAGTGATTCCAGCGTTCGGAGAAAGGCTGTGGTTGTGCTTGAGCTCCCGAGGCTTCCACGTTTGAAAACTGTCCACGCCCTGCTGCCAGCTACCAAAGGCGCGCTCTGACCCTCACAGCCCCTCT